GGGGGGGGGGGGGGGAGAAGCATAGATTTGATTGACATTTAAATACAGTGGATATTATTAAGGACTCATATATCCATCTGCAAAATTCCGGGCCGTCTTTGGAAGCTTAATGCTATACCTGGTTAGGAAACAACATTTGCTTTATGCTTCCCCAAAGAGAAAAATCCATACCTTATTATTCTCTGTTCTTCCTCCATCTGTTTCCTCACCTGTTGCAGTTCCCTGATCAGTTCAACGTCTGTGCCATTCACCCAGGTATACACCACATCAATAGGCATAGGCAAGCAAAGCCTGCAGAAATCATATTGAAAAACAGATGAAAAAAAACCCCTGTTTAGTCTATCCAGGATTTAACTGTGAAGCATTTTATGGTGCTACAGATTAGGTTCTTCTTCAGATACTAGAACTCATGAGCTGCAAATGACAAGGGCACTTAGTACATTTGATACATTCACATTGTTTGGTTAAACCTTCCAATTCCTGTCATTGACCACCATAAAGTTTTTATTGTTAAGTAGCCTTCCATTACTCCATCACGTTCAGGAGCTGGCAGACATCAAACATTTAGTAATCAATTCTGCTTTTAAAAAATCCTTCTGGATAGTCATGTCATCTTCTTCTATAATGTGAATCATTCCAGAAATACTTCTGTGAAAGAAAACAATGTATCAACAGCCTTTTGTATTAAAAAAAAAGTTAATATTTAAAAAGCTAAAGATACAACCTGATCTCAACATTTCTACTACTTTGCCAACAACCCAACATTCACTGTTTTGTTTTAATTAACTTGTACAAAGGAGCCCAGAATAGGATAAGAACAAAGATGAAACTCAATATTATCTCCCAACTCTCCTCAACAACTTAAGGTGCAATATAAAGTTCCACTAGTTCATTTTTCCATTTTATCCTTTTGATGACTAATTATGAATAAAAGTTACCCACAGAACTTTTTGACTAGATGGGAATGAACATCTGGGCTTTCTGAATCTCAGCCTGACATAATCCTGGTAGAGCTCCTTGATCACACAAAAATATAGGGTGGTTCCTCCTCCTCCTCCTCCTCCTCCTCCTCCTCCTCTTCTTCATAACCTGCTACCCAATATCCTTATATCCCCAAATAGCTGTACTTTTAATTAGGAAGAATGGCTATTGTTTAGCCATTAGAATAACTATCAGCAAAGGTGAATAAACTGAAATGTGGCTTTGCCTAAATAACAGGGCAAATCCTGAATCATAAGCACTCAAGTTAAATTCAGCATCCCTGGAGAATTTAATTTCAGTTAAGGAAAAGTAGATGCTTATTCATGTAGAATAGCTTTAGAATAGCTTGGCTAATCCTTGAAATAGCTAAGCTATTCTAAAGATCCAAATCAATTTGATATTTTTAATTATCTGGCTTATGCAGAGACTGGTGGGCACTTATGACCAAATGCTAGGCATGATTATAAAATAAATCCTTTTTTTTTTTCCCATTCTGCTGGTAGCTTTACATATGGTTGGTGGTCACTAGACATAGATCCCTTCTCCTTTTTTCAGAAGGACTAGAATGGAAGTACTCTGCATTTGCTCCTGAGATCTCAAAACTGCTCTGAAAAAGAGCCACAGCTCAGGAACACAGATGTGTGCTGCATACAAGGTGAAACACTCAATCCCAAACATCTTGTCAGCAGAGTGCAAGCAGAACAGAGGGAAAGCAAACTTCAAAGGCTTAGTATGTTTAAGAAACTGATATTCTAGATGGGTGCCCCCTCCAACCTAGTATCTTCGCTGGTAATCCTGAAAGTCATTGGTATTGGTCTGCAGGACATCAGTTAGCCATTCCTCACCAGAAGCAACTCCATCTTTTGAATCACTTTGGAGTTTAATTCTTTCCTTACTGTTTCTTTAAGACTGAAAAGCCTTTGGAACTGCAAGTTTGGCATTCGCTTGGTGAGTCTCTCTTAAATCCATTTAAAAAGAAATAAAATTATGTGTTTCCAGTTTTATAAGATTATGTGTTATAAAATTATGTGTTTCCAGTCTTATAAGATTTTTATTTTTTGCAATATACAGCAAAAGGGTGATTATAGTGCTGTTTTTGGAAGTTTTTTAAACACTAAGGGTTTGGATGAAACTGGTTTAAAGAAAGACTGAAGTTAATTAAAAAGATCTTTTCTAAGGGTTTGGATGAAACTGGTTTAAAGAAAGACTTTGAAGTTAATTAAAAAGATCTTTTCTCGTAGGAAAAAATGTCATGTTGATATTCCGAGTTGATAACAAGATTTTGAAGGCTGATCACTAGAGGGCACCAGATGGCTACTTTAAAGGAAACGTTTGATATGTTGGTGCAAGAAGTGCTTAAGTTATTTAACTCTATACTGGAACCAAAAGGTGTTATTAAAGAAGAGCAAGTCCCTTTGAATAAAACTGAAATGGACTTTAAGGTGGACTTAAAAATTATAACCTGCAAGAAAGAGATGGAAATATTGGATTTACAAATGGAATTGAATGAGCATCTAAAAATAAAAAAAGATATACAAATAATATATCAAAAGAGTGATGTGGATTACACATTTAAATTGGAATATTAGAGATCTACACTGAAATTACAAATGGACTTTGATAAAGATGACAAGAATTTTGAGAGAAGAGGCAAGGATAGTAGAAGAAAGCAGATCTTAGAATTTTATCTATGGGATCTAAGGATTGCTGGGAGGAAGAAGAAAAAATACAAAATTGGTTTATTTGATTATGGTTACATAATGGGTTGCTATGTCTGGTGATGTTTAATGGTTATTTTGACTGGATAGTTTTTTTGGGAAATGTTCAATTGGGTGTAATGGATTAATTTGCAATATCTATGCTACTACTTTTGGTATATAAATAAGGGGTTTCTATTTCTTGTAAAGTTTGTTTTTATTTTTCTGTAATGTTTAACTGTTAATTGAGATCAGATTTTTATTATTAAGAGAGAGATTAGGGGACTTTGCTTAAAGGAAAGGGGGATTAAATACTTATGTTGTTAGTTGTGTCTGTTAACTTTTTCTGGACCTTTGCTGATTAATAAGGAGAACTGAGGATTTAGAATTTAGTCTTTTGTAAATGGGGTAAGGTATTGAATGAAGATGTATTTGGTTGTATTTTAAGAGACAATGATAAATTGTTAATGTTGATTATAGTTGCTGGGGATGAAGGGGGAAGTATCTTCTTTGGGAGGGGTTCTGTACCTTTTTAATATTTTTTCTTTCTTTTTTCTTTTATTTTTTTAATGTGTTTTATATTAGGTTCTTGTATTAGTTTTACCTGTTTTATATAATACTTAATAAAATTATTGAAAGAACGTGAATTCAAATCAGAAACAACTGCATGTGAGTCATCTATGTGAATCAGAACTGAATCGGCTATGATTGGGATTTACACACACTTATTGAATAATATAATATTGACATTATTTTTCTGTTGTCCTCTCTTCCCCTGTTTGAACAAATTAAATCCATGTTGGACTTTAAAGAACATGGTTAGCAGTACAGACAACTGAATATTCATATATAGCTCTGTATGGATTCTATAGAATGCATAAACAATAGTCTGTATTTTTAAGTGCTTAAACAATTGTTGTTGGGGTTTTTTTCTTTACAATCCTTGATGCATCACCTACTTAAATTAGACAGACCCTAATGTAAATGTCTGCAATCTTCTCCCATTTTCCATTTTAGAGTTCATAGAGACTTCATAGACTTCAATATCCCGGTTCCACTCACTTTCTACTCTCCCTTGGTTACATATTGGTTGGTTAAGAGATGCAAAGA